ACACAGACGATCGGGAGAGATTCGGGTGATTGTCAATTGCTGCTATGATGGCTTTGGTTTGTTGTTCTTTTTCACTATTCGTCCGCAGACACATTCTGACAGCACTTCAGACAGCAGCTTGGTGCCCCGNGTGTCGATATTTTTCACCGCAGTGCCTAACACAGACGATCGGGAGAGATTCGGGTGATTGTCAATTGCTGCTATGATGGCTTTGGTTGGTTGTTCTTTTTCACTGTACGGCCGCAGACACATTCTGACAGCACTTCAGACAGCAGCTTGGTGCCCCGCCAGCTGCTTGTTCCATGCCTACCATGGGGTTTTTGTACAGACAGCACTTCAGACAGCAGTATGCTATTGTCGGCAATCTTCCGTTTTGGTAAAGAGTGGGACAGGGAGGGGGTGATGCTACTGCTGTAGTCGAACGGTGGGACGGACGTGCAGTTCAGTGTTTGGGCACGCATACGGTGCTGCAGGGATTTTTAGGTGTACCTCTTCGGGCTCTTGGCCTTTTTCTCGTTTTATGTGTGCGTGTTCTTTGGATCCTCAGATGGCTCTAGCACTTTCGAGACCACGGGATGAGAGTCTTTGCTAGATTTTGGCATTTAGCAACTGACATACGGTTTCATGTGAAGACAACAACAACAACAACACAGTTTGAGACTGGGGCTCCAAATTTAATGGAATATGGAAACAGATTTTGAGTTAAGAAAGTTTCCTGGAAACTTTCTACAGGCGAATATTTTCCGATTTAAGGTCTGCAGGCTGGGGCGAAAATGATTGGCCGAGGTGGACAGTGGCCTGACAGTCCCCCTCCTTCCGTGGCTGCTTGCTGCCCTGCTGCGGGAACAGCTGTGTCTCTTGACAGAGCGCTCTGCAGCGCTCCCACTGTTGAGTGCGTGGGCGAGGCTACCATGTCCCGTCTACGTATTCGCGAACGAATCGAGCGCAAAAAACGTGCTTCGGTCATGCTTCGATGCCGTAATCTATTCGAAGTCTACACCGATATATGGGCGTGTCGTCGAGTTCCAGACGGGCCATCGCGTAGATGAAAGCGATGTTGTACACGAAC